GGATGATGCTGTTTGCAGCTGTCACACACCCTTCAGGGTGGGGGTCCCCACTGGGTGCCTGCCAGTCTGGTGAGGGGCTGAGGGCTGTTTTCAGGCTGGTGGGTGACTGAAGCTCCCAACCGCTCCTTTTTTTCTTTCTTTTTTTATTCTGGGCCAAGGCCTCTGCTTCTGAAAGCCGGTATCTGGTTTGTTTCGGTTCTATAATCAAAACACTGTATCATCTCCAGCTCTGAGATCCCGGCCGGCTGGCTGAAAGCTGGTTTCTGGGGTTTTGTTTAGCTTCTATATTTGTTACAATGTTTCAAACTGCCAGCTCAGGTGCCGGCAGCAGCAGGCGGGGAATGTTGGAGTCCTCCTTCACTGAAGCAAGCAAGCCTCATGTTCGCTTCCAGCTGCCTGGCTGCCGGCCGCCATCTTGGCTGGCAGTTAATTTGCATATCGCTCTGATTAGCCAATGGGAAGGGTAGCGGTCGTACGCTAATTACCATGTTTCTCTTTTATTAGATAGGATATGTTAGTAGGAAATGAAAAAGCTATCCTGACCAAGTAGTAAAATTTAGGAAATTTATTTCTCACTACTTTTCACCAAATCATGTACTTTTTGCAAGCCCCTGAAGTTAGACATAGTTTACACTTGGAAGACATTAAGTATCATTGTACTTAGATTGGCTACCATAGAATGTTACAACATAGCATAACATAATATAGCATAATATAACGTAATGTGAATAACAATACAATGTAATATGACATATTATGAAATGTATTAATATGTATAATAGTATTATAATGTATGATTACCCCAGCTATAGTTATAATTCTGTGAATTCCTAAAGGCTTCACACACACATGTACACACAAGTACTACTAAAATAAAATGAAAGTACCAACCTGAAATTCTAGTACTTGAGGAAACAAAAGAACCAGTGGATGAATAACAACTTTGATAAACTTATAGGACAGCCATAAAATCAAATGCTTTAAAAAATAATAATACAGATGGATGGATGGATGGATAGGTGGAAGATAGCAGGTAATTCTGAGAGAATTCAAGAAAATGAAGAACTTAATGTCATTGATACCTGGTTTTTAGATTGTAGCAGGTGCTAATTTATTTTTATATTTCAGTGGAAGTTAAGAAGGCTACTCTATATAATAAAAGGCTTTGGAGTCAGGCTGCCTGAGCTTGAATTCTGGTCTATCATTTGTTAACTTCTTTACTCTCTAAATCTCAATTTCCTTACTGCAGGGTAGGGGTAATAATAGTAACTACCTTACAGGTTGTTTGTGAGAATTAGATAGGTTAATACAATGCTGGGTGCAAAGTAAATGCTTATCTATAATAATAAAAGTTTAATATGCTAATTAGACCGGACAGCCTAACGACCTTCTGGACGTCATTTCAGAGTCCTTCCGAATGAAGCTGCTGCGGCGGGGGCCGAGGCAGAGGTGGTTAGGGGCGATTGGACAGGCAGGCGAGCAGTTAGGGGCAATCAGGCAGGCAAGTGAGTGGTTAGGGGCAGGCAGGCAGGTGAGTAGTTAGGAGCCAGCGGTCCTGGATTGCAAGAGGGATGTCTGACTGCCTGTTTAGGCCCTATCTTGGGATCAGGCCTAAACAGACAGTTGGACATCCCCTGAGGGGTCCCGGATTGCGAGAGGGTACAGGCCGGGCTGAGGCACCCCCCCCCTTCCCCTGTGCACAAATTTCGTGCACCGGGCCTCTAGTTAAATTATAGTAGTGGTGTCTCTTGTGTAGCAACTGCTGTTGTCTCAGTTATGTAAACACTTGTCAGCTAACCAGTTACCTGAATTTGGTTTCTGCATTTAGTTTTAAATTTTTGTGCTTTTTAAAAATCCATCAGTATTTCATGAATATCCTAATTGTGCTAGCATTTTTTGTTCATTCTGTTTTCATAGAAAATCCTCATTTCTAGTATAATTTGTTGAATATTTTGAATGTTATTTTTATTTCATCCTTACAGCATGAGGCAGCAAAAGTGTTACAAGATGCTATCCATGAATTTTCTGGGACATATGAAGAATTGCGTGTTACCATTGCTAATGCAGACCTAGCTCTGGCCCAAGGAGATGTTGAGCGGGCTTTAAGCATGCTTCAAAATGTTACATCCGAACAGCCTTATTTCATAGAGGTCAAAGAAAAAATGGCAGATATATACCTGAAGCATAGAAAAGAGAAAATGTTATATATCACTTGCTATAGGTAAATGGTTATTTGAATGCATTTACCTCCTAAAATTAATTCCCAAATTTGTTTTACTTCTCTTTTAAGTGTTTTGTGGATACTTTATAGATCCTTGCCTTCATGTTCTCACTTCCTTCTCCTACCATCAACCACAGTCACTCTAGCCAAGCTACTCTCTCAAAAACATAAGCAGAGGTCCTCAAACTTTTTAAACAGGGGGCCAGTTCACTGTCCCCTAGACATTCCAAACATGCACACTGCGGGCCCGGGACGAATTGGTTGCTAAGCAGCACAGGCAGCGGTGGCAAAAACACCCGGTGGGCCGGATAAATGTTTTCGGCGGGCCGCATGTGGCCCACGGGCCGTAGTTTGAGGACCCCTGACATAAAGCATAATACTTATAATTACTTCAACCTGTGGCTCATTCTGGTTTCTCAGTTCTCCTCCCTCATCAGATGTTACTTTTAGACATCTTTCTGTTGGGGGAAGGGAACGAACAACAGTTATATGTATTAATAATTTAAGACAATTATGTAATGTAACATCAATTCAGGGGCTAGATCAGGGGTGGGCAAACTTTTTGACTCGAGGGCCACAATGGGTTCTTAAACTGGACCGGAGGGCTGGAACAAAAGCATGGATGGAGTGTTTGTGTGAACTAATATAAATTCAAAGTAAACATCATTACATAAAAGGGTACGGTCTTTTTTTTTTTTAGTTTTATTTATTTCAAACGGGCCGGATCCGGCCCGCGGGCCGTAGTTTGCCCACGGCTGGGCTAGATGGTCATGTGTAATTCCTTAATATAATAGACTAGAGGCCCGATGCATGAAATTCATGCCAGAGGCTCAGCCCTCGCAACCGAGGCTGCTTGCCTCGGCCTTCGCAGCCCCAGCTTCGTCCAGAAGGTCATCCAGAAAGATGTCCAGAAGGTCGTTTGGCTGTCCGGTCTAATTAGCATATTATGCTTTTATTATTATAGATACAGAAAAAGAATTATGGTTTAGTATATACTACACTAAGGTATGGATTACAAATGTTCCTTGGAGGAAGGAAAGGGCTTTAAAAGTTATATTGTGGCTGGCCAGTGAGCTCAGGTTGTTGAATGTCATCCCATACCCAAAAGGTGACAGGTTCGATTCCCGGTCAGGGCACATACTCAGTTTAGGATTCAAACTCCTAGTCGGGGCATGTGTGGGAGACAAACAATCGATGTTTCTCTCTCACATTGATGTTTCTCTCTCTCTCCCTTCCTCTCTCTCTAAAATCAATAAAAATAAATTAATTAAAAGTTATATTCTGATGCCCTTAGGAGTTATTGGGATACACAACACATACACACGGACATATACACACATGCACACACAGAGGTTGCTTTTACTCTTCCACCTGGACAAACAGATAAAAACACATGCACACACTCCACATAAGAGAAAAATTAACATTTTTAACTTTTGAAAACAGTAAAATACTGATGAATTAAGTTGTCAAACCAAGTCAAATTGGTTCATCTAATATATATATATATCAAAGCTCAGAAATCTGCTCAGATTCTTTTTTTTGTCTCTTTAAATCCTTTTATTTTTTAATTAAATCTTTATTGTTGAAAGTATTGACATGTCCTCCCCCTCTCTAGCCTGCTCCCATCCCTCCTCCCATGCTTAGATTCTTTGTAGGTGCTGTGTGATTCAAAGAAAGGGAGCAGTACCCCAATATAGATAGATGAACTAAAGTTTCTACATCACATTTCCTAAAGATGAGCACTATCATCTCTAATGGTGAAAGTGTTTCCAAATAGGGTTGATTTGTTTGAATGCAGTATAATATAATAGTTAAAAGCATAGGTTTCTGTTTCAGGCAGATCTGACACATTAGCTGTAGACAAACTCAGCGTCATCTGTAAAATCAAAACAATAATTCTCTTTCTCATAAGAGTTTTTGACCAAATACTAGTAAATGAGATACTATATGTTAAAGACTTAATATCACATTCTTATTTGAGTAACTTTGGTATTTTGACTTTTACTAGTTAAATCTTGCAGGTAAAAAATAAACAGGAAATACTGAAGTAGAAGACTGGATATTTTTTAAAGTAACTCATTTCAGCACATGGTTAATGCCATGAATACCAGAGCTCAAGATACATAGGAGAATAAGTGGTGTGTCTCCACCCCTCCCCCCCCACTCCATTCTTTTTGGTACCTTTACTTCCATGTCATTTCAAAATTAAACATAACAAAATATATTTCTGGATACAATTTATCCACCTGTACTCTGTTTCCTGCATTTCAGAAAATGTAAAGACTTAATGAAAAAATGATTGACCTAGCATAAACAGTCTGGTTGTGGGTATGGTGGTTTTGTTTTTTGTTTCTGTTTTTCACAGTGTTACACTGTTGGATATGTAGAAGGTACTCTGAAGGTTATTGGGTAATTGAAATAAATGTGCTTACCTTTTAGAAGAAGATATTTGTATTCAATATACTAAATAGTGTTGGTCTGATTTCCAGAGAAATTGCTGAAATAATGCCCAGCCCTCATTCTTTCCTTCTCCTTGGAGATGCATACATGAATATTCAAGAGGTAAATTTCTGATGCTACTGACCTTAGACTTTTAAAAAATCTTTGTGATTAGTATAGCATCCCAAATTAAAAGGAATTTGGTTTTCTAAATAATGTTTACTTAATATTCAAGATTCAGTCATCACAATGAAAGGAGACAACCATTACAATAAAAGCATGCTTTTCTTTTCAAATTGAGATCCAATAATTCAACACTATCATTATTTAAAATAGAGATGGTATCAGAAGCAAGTTAAGAGGATCCTTTAAACAGAAGGATGAAGAGAACTATTAGCTATGTGGTGTTTTCTTCAAAGGGAAGCAGTACTCTGACTCTATCTGGCTTTTGTGATGACTGCCAGAAATGAAAAGTCAAGAACTTTTCTCAGATTATTATTTATGAAGGCAAGAGACAATTAACATGGGTGGGAATATACTGATAAGTTATACCTATGCTGGTGACTGTCACCTTTCTGAAATTATTAAGGTTTCTAGACTTAAATATATGCTTTATTAATCTTATTAAATATTCCAAATGAAAAACATAATTATATAAATGTTGCCATTAGTGGAATCCAGCCAACCTCTTTATCTATTGCCTATTTTTTGTGTCTGTCAACATTAGCCTGAAGAAGCCATAGTAGCATATGAGCAAGCATTAAATCAAAACCCAAAAGATGGAACACTGGCAAGCAAAGTTGGGAAAGCACTTGTGAAAACTCATAACTATTCAAAGGCAAGTACTTTATAGTTTAAAATATATTTATTGGGTCAAATTTTTCAAAGTCTGCTCTATGATAGGCCTTCAGCAAACACCGTTTGTATCTTGATGGTTGTAAAACTCCAAATTTGTGTCCACGAGCTGGAATTTGTGCTAAAGGCTTTCTCTTGTCTCAAATTCTTGTTCACTGCATTTTGCAAAGACTGTTTGGACTAAAGTTTACTTCAGGCCTCATCTTACACCTAAATTCTTAATCACTAAACCAGTTGCTATTAACATCTCTTTCATTATATGACAAAGCATAATAGATGTCCTTTCTCTGGAATGAATTTTGGTAAGCTATGTGCTTTGAGGGTTGGGTTTGGTTTTTGTTAGTTTGTTTGCCTCTTAGAGAAAATGGATATTCTTTAGTTGTATTTTTGCTCTATTCCTGGTAACTGTTGAACATTTATATAACAGCTAGCAAAGTATTTGCATTTGATAAAGTTCACTGGCTTCTGGAATAAAACCATTAATTTTTTTTTCACCAAGCACTCTGTTAATAAGCTACTTATACAAGAAATGCTAGTTGCCTTGTGTGATGTTTGATTCTCTGAGGAAAATGGCATAGTTAACTGGTAGTGCAGACACATGCCTAAGCTTCTCCGTGTTGTTTTCAGTTATGTGTATGTTTTAAATCTGTGTAAGTTACCTATGCTTGAATGCCATTCTCATTGCCTCTTTCTTCCTAACCAAAATGGATTTTGTTTAGGCAATCACTTACTATGAAGCTGCACTGAAAAATGGACAAAATTATCTTTGCTATGACCTGGCAGAGCTTTTATTAAAATTGAAGTGGTATGACAAAGCAGAAAAAGTCCTTCAACATGCTCTAGCTCATGAACTTGGTATGAAAATATTCCTGATTTGAAAAAAAGTACACCTGATATACCTTATCTTTTTTATTTTTGTATTATATAAATGTGTATTTGTATTCCCAGTATTTTATATGTGAAGTTGTTTATTTCATTGATCTGAATATCACTCTATTAAAATAAGATATTTGAAAAATCTACAACAGATTTATGAAACAGTTAATTGTGTTACAGAAAGATACTTCCCAAAATGATGTAAAGGAAAGTTCTTTTAAATTGCATCTATGTCTGATGTTTAAACAAATAAACATTTTTATTATAAGTTTTTTAAAAATGTATTTTTATTGATTTCAGAGAGGAAGAGAGAAAGAGAGAGAAACAGAAACATCAATAATGTAACATTAAAGAAATAATTTAAATAAACCACTTTAAACAGACTGGCACAGACCACGTACTTCTTAAATGGTGGAAGAAACATATTTCTGTTAATTATTTAGGGTTCTTTTACTACTCTTAGATCACAAAGTAATAATACTAAATATTTAAATCGCACTTAACCACATGCCACACTTTATTTTAATTGCTTTGCATATGGTAACTTACGTTGTACTTATTAACTTTAAATATTATACGAGAACCCTATGAAATAGGTACTATTATTTCCCCTCTTTTTCACATGGAAGGGAGGCACAGAATAGTTAAGTACTTGTTCAAGGTTAAATAGCTAATAAATGATGACGCCTAAATTTGAAACCAGACTGGTTGGCATCACAATTGGTGTTCTTACTGGTTACGATTCATAGCCTATCAAATAATCTATTATTTTAAAAAACAGCACTTCTTCATTACATGCAGCAGATATTCTATCTTATCTTTTAACTAGAGGCCTGGTGCATGAAATTCATGCACAGAGGGGTGTCCCTCAGCCCAGCCTGCACCCTCTCCCAATCTGGGACATCCCTCTCACAATCCGGGACTGCTGGCTCCTAACCACTCGCCTGCCTGCCTGCCTGATTGCCCCTAACCACTTCTGCCTGCCAGCCTGATTGCCCCCTAACTGCTCCCCTGCCAGCCTGATTGATGCCTAATTGCTCCCCTGCCAGCCTGGTCACCCCCAACTGCCCTCCCCTGCTAGCCTGGTCGCCCCAACTGCTCTCCCCTGCCGGCCCGATTGCCCCCCACTGCCCTCCCCTGCCGACCATCTTGTGGCAGCCATTTTGTGATGATGTGGGGGCGTCACGTGAGGGCGCGAGGGCCACCTAGGCTTTTATTAGTATAGATGACTTCAATAAGCAGAAATTTTATATACTTAAGAACAAAAATTGAAATTATTAACTAAGTTATTATATTGTAACTTCTAAATATATGTCTTAAAAAAAACCTCCAGTTTTTACCCAGTTCTTTATTTTTTTCTTCCAAGCTATTTGTATCTTGTAAAACAAAAACAAAAAAAAACAAGCATGGCCATTCCTCAGTTAACTGACTGAAAATTTTTTAACTTTGTTCACTATTTTTCAAAACCATTCTTTCCAAAGACCATTTTTTAAACTGGTTGAAAAATGTAAGCATTTGTTTAAAATTAATATTTTCCCCCAATGTATTCAATTCTTTCATAGTAAATGAATTGTCAGCTGTCATGGAAGATGGACGTTTGCAAGTTCTTCTAGCAAAAGTTTACAGTAAAATGGAAAGACCTGGTGATGCAATCACTTCATTACAACAGGTAAATGCATTTGTTTGTGAGGGTGGTTGTAGGTGGAGGATGGATGCAGAAGGAAATATGCCACATGTAAGAGTAAACCAATCTCTTTTGACCCATCATTCACAGAAAATAAGTCAAAGTGGAAATGATTGAATGCCTATGGATTATACAGTTTAAATATATTATTGCTAATTATTATACCAAATAGGGAAGTTGATTTTTTAATTCTGTTTTACAGCTGAGGAAGTTTGGTTTAAAGCTTTTGTGAAGTCATATAATAGGTGGGACTTGACATGAATTTTTTTTCTTCCTTTATATCTTCTTTAATTTATTTTAATATTTTGTTGTTTACACTGTAGGGGTTTTGCACACTTTTCCTTTGAACTGTTCCCTAAGTAGCTGATATTTTTAATGATTTTTCCATTTCTAGTTTGCTAACAATTTTTTATAAATTAAATTTTATCATAATTCACTTTATACATCTATCAGGATACTCATGTGACTTTTCTCCTATTTTTTTTTCTGTAAATGTGATATATAAAATTGATTTTCAGATGTTAAATCACCGTGATAGCCCTGAAATATGTCATTTTTTGTAGTTTTTTTAAAACAATAACTGGAATTTAAAGATATTAGCTAGTATTTTGTTCAAGATTTGTATATCTATGTTCATGAAAGATACTGATCTATAGACTAATGCTATTTTTTTAACATTTGGAACAATTTGATATTAAAACCATTGGTACTTCAAGGCTTCTTGATGGAAGATTTTTATTAATGGATTCAACGTCTATAATGGATCTTAGAGTGATCATTTTAAAATTTCGCTTATGTTGGTTTAGATGGCTATATTTTTAAGCAATTTTTTATTTCATTAAATTGTCAAATTAATTGACATATTTGTTCATTATATCTTAACTGTTGAAAATCTGGAAATACTGTAGAAATATCTTCTTTTATATTCCTGATATTGGTCATTTTCCTTCTGTTATTAATGATCAGTTATGCCAGGGGCTTATTATAATAATACTAGAGGCCTGGTGCACGACATTTGTGCACTGGAGGAGGGGTGTCCCTCTGCCCAGCCTGCACCCTCTTCAATCTGGGACCCCTGATGAGAGGTGCTGGACCGGCAGTTGGACATCCCTCTCACAATCCGGGACTGCTGGTTCCCAACTGCTCACCTGCCTGATTGCCCCTAACCACTTCTGCCTGCTAGCCTGATCACCCCCTAACCACTCCCCTCCCAGCCTGATTGACGCCTATCTGCTCCCCTGCTGGCCCAGTCGCCCCCAACTGCCCTCCCCTGCGGCCATCTTGTGGCTGTGGGCACCACCATCTTTGAGGATGGGGCAGTCAATTAGCATATTCCCTCCTTATTGGCTGTGGGTGCCGCCATCTTTTCGACAGCGTGGGGGTCAATTATCATATTCCCTCTTTATTAGATAGGATTCTCAGAGAACCAACTTTTTCCTTTTCTGGCTTGATGAATGTTTGCTTTTTTACCTCACTAAATAGTTTTCTCTACTATCTTTGGATATGGTTTACTAATCTTTTTCTAGACTATTGAAATACTCCATTAGGTAGTAACATAGGCTGGGTTAGCCTTTGTTCTTTTCTTATTTATTTAAGGTAATAAATTTATCTCTAAGCATTGCTTTAGATACACCCCACAAGTCTATTATTGTTCAGTTTATAATATTTCCTTACTTCTACTTTGATCACTTCTTTGACTCATGGGTTATTTATAAGTATAGTGTTTATCCAGGGATCTCACTTCTAGGAACATATCCTAAGAAGACTGAAACACTAATAAGAAAGAATATATGCACCCATGTGCTCATAGCAGCATTATTTACAATAACTAAGATGTGGGAACAGACCAAGTGCCCATCAGTAAATGTGTGGATAAAAAAAGCTGTGGTACATTTACACAATGGAATAGTATGCAGTAGTAAAAAAACAGGATCTCTTACTCTTTGAGAAAACATGGAAGGACCTGGAGAATATTATGCTAAGCAAAACAAGCCAGTCAGAGAAAGACAAGTTTCACATGATTTCACTTACATGTAGAATCCAATGAACAAAATAAACTGTTGAATAAAATAGATCCAGAGACATGGAGACTGAAGATTCTAAGAGGAAAAGGGGGTTGGGTGGGTGGAAAGAGGTTAACCAAGGATCTTATATGCATACTAGAGGCCCAGTGCATGACATTTGTGCACTTGGGGAGTGGGGGATACCTCAGCCTGGCCTGCCCCCTTTCACATTCCAGGAGCCCTCAGGGGATGTCCAACTGACAGCTTAGGCCCACTCCCCAGTGTTAAGCGTCTGCTCCTGTGTTAAGCGTTTGCCCCCTGGTGGCCAGTGCGTGTCATAGTGACTGGTCGTTCCACCATTCAATTGATTTGCATATTACCCTTTTATTATATAGGATATACATAATCCATGGACACAGACAATAGTGAGGTGGAGGACTGAGGAGGGGATAGGAATGAGAAGGAGGAGATCAATGGGGGAGGGGTGAAGGGAACATCTGTAATACTTTGAACCATAAAGATAAATTTTAAAAAATTTAAAGTGATAACTATTGCATATGGAAATAACATAGTAAGCACTTAATATATGGCAGTTATTTTTCACAGCATATAGTTATAAATATGGTTTGAAGTAAAATCTGTTTATGTATAAAAAATAAAAGTAATAGTGCTCAATTTCCAGGCAGTTCCATTTTTTGTTATCTTTTTTATAATTATTTCTAGTTTAATTTTGCTGTGGTCAGACATGGTTTGAATGATTCAGCCCTTTGACATTTGTTAAAGCTTGCTTTATGCCCTACATTGTAATCAATTTTGGTACAGTTTCCATGTGGATCTTAAATAATGTTGTTGACTGGGTCATTTGTTCATTGATTTGCCCCACATCTTCGCTGAGCTTGAAGTAGAACATAGAGCATCTCACTATTTTTGCTTTCTAGAATACCACTCTTTTGACCTCATTTTCATGTACCCAGAAGAGTTTTGCATTCTGTGCAACTTATTTATCAAATGTTTTGGTTTTGAGCTTTAGCTAACAGAAGTTCTAATTCTTTAATTGCAGGAAAATTCTAGGGGAAATCACTTTTTAGCAAATTATCTTTTCTGTGAAAAACATCTAAGTAAATCAGAAATAAAGAATCTATATGCCATAAAACACTTAACAATTTTATAATTTTATAAAATTTTAATTGATAAGTACAGACTTATATTTGGTTATGCTTCTTTCACTTAATATTCATTTCTGTGGATTTTACCAGCATGTCTATGTAGCTACAACTCCATCATATAAAAGTAAAATTTCATGAAACAGTCTTAACCTTCACCAAATGCTGTATCTAATAATATTCTCTAGTCCTTTCTCTTTCATTTCCAGAAAAATGCTTATTATAATGTCCTAAGTTAATGTTAGGACCTGTGATTCCAAAACATACTCAGCTTTAGACCAGCTTCATTAAACACCAGTTGTCAACCAGCATTTTGACAGGGGTCTCCAAAAGGGCTCCCTGTGTGTAGCATAATGTGTGGCAGATGGTGAACATTCACTGTTTGTTACATGAACACATGAATGCATTAGTGAATGATTAGCTCAAAGTTAAATTTTATTGTGCAGGCTTAAAGCACAGGAGTTCTCTGTCACTTATTAAAGGAAGGTCTCAGTGTGTCAGAAAACAGATCTGTGGGTGGAAAGGCTAATGTTCTTCTAATTTAGCAACCTTCTCTACATTCTTACCCTGAGGAAGACCCCAGCCTTCCTTCTGGTTGTCTGTGAACAGTGTAGGACCATATGTATGTATACACCAAAAATTGATTAGCCATTTTCCATTCTTAGACATTGGGCTATTTCAGAGATTTTTTTGTTTTACTTTTGCTGTTTCTTCGTTTTTACAACAAATAACAGAATGCTTTTTTTTTTCTTTATAACAAATAACATGTTTTAAGTCATTTCCTCAATACCTTTCAAAGAGTGGAACATTTTTTCCAAATGTTGGTTTTATGGTTGTATTGTTCCCTAGTGAGCTTCCTGCACATGTCCTTATAACAGTGGGAAAGACTCAGTGATTTTTAGTACTTCAGTTGAAAAGTATAGGCATGCTGGCTCATTTGTGAACAAGTGCATGTTTAAGACCTCAACTAAGATATTTTCTTTGGGTCAGAATTTGTTAGCTCAAGGGCCAATAATGCTTTAATAAATCTTCTATAAAGTTTATATTGTGTGTTCATATTGAGAATTTGTTAGTTTCTACTTCTTTTTAAAAAAAATCCTTTTTATCCTTATTTTTTCCTAGGCTAGAGAATTACAAGCTCGGGTACTAAAACGTGTTCAGATGGAACAACCAGATGCAGTTCCTGCACAGAAACATTTAGCAGCTGAAATTTGTGCAGAGATTGCAAAACATTCTGTTGCTCAGCGAGATTATGAAAAAGCAATTAAGTTTTATAGAGAAGCGCTTGTTCATTGTGAAACAGATAATAAGGTCAGAACCTTCATAAAAATTTAAGCACCTTTTTTTCCAGATGTCATCTAATTTCTCCAAATGTAAAATTCGTATCAGCTTATTAAAAAAGATTTGAAAAGAAATATAACAAAAATACAAGTTAAAAATTAATACTGTGTCTAGAAATCCTTCAAAATAGTTATGCCTTTAATAATATTAGAATCTAAAAATTATGATGGAATAAATGACAAAGTAAATCTGTAAGCTCTTTGATGTTCAATATTCATTTGTGTTTTAGTAATTACTTTAAAACAACTTCTCAGTCTCAAATAAGTATCTGGCTCTAGATGACTCAATTCAGCTTACTACACAGCCCTTGTACACCTCTTTTTAAATTACTGGATATGCAGAAATGACTAGATTGAATCTCTTAACTCAAATGGCACAGTTTGGGAGTAAATGTAAAGGTAATATTGATGTAGAAAGCATATACTGTATAAACTAAAAGTGTAATTTCTCAGATGTTGATAGATTAAATTTTTTTCTTAGAAATCTCTAAAAATAGCTAAATACTTAAATAAGTGATGTATAACAAAAGGCAATCGTATTCTAGAATTTAAAGTTAAGGATTGAGCATTTTGAAGTTAATACAATTCTTTCAGATATAAGGCAAAAATAACCTTTTTTAAGGCATTACCAAATAGGCACCTGGTTCCATGATGGCTGAAGGAGCTATAATTCTAGTTTCAGTATAAAGCATACCTTGGGAATTGTCTGTTTCAGGCTTTTTATTTTACAAATGAGAAAACAGGTTCTGAGAGGTAAGAGAGACTTGGCCCCATCATGGGAAATCTTGGACCAGAATCTAATTTCCCGATTTAAGCCAGTGTTCTTTTCACAATGTTTTGTGTCTCTCTACTTTTCAAGTGAGTTAACACCCATTTTTCCTTTTTTTTTTCCTCAGGTATAAGAGAAAAGAAAGATGAGTGTGCCTATAGTTTTCCTATCTATCATGCTTGGCATTTTTACTCCGATAACTTTGATCAACTAAAGGTTAATCTGTGTGCAGACAATGTCCTCAGGCACTGTTTATTCCAGTCTCTCACTAATCGTGCCCTGATTGTCCATAGATAATGTTGGAGCTGGCACGATTATACCTGGCACACGATGACCCTGAGGCCTGCCTGCGGCACTGTGCCCTACTTCTCCAGAGTGACCAGGACAATGAGGCTGCCACCATGGTTAGTCCCAGAGTCTTCAGTTCTGTAAGGCGGCTGTGTTTTAGGATCCACGGGGGAGTGTCACCCTTTACCCATAAAACTAATGCTAAACGAGAGGCCTGCCTCGTGTTGGCTTTTGGAAGAAATAACATTTTTAATATTTTACCAAAGAAGACTAAGATTCTTTTTTTATTTTATAAGAACGGTAAACCTGTTTTTCTAAATAAGGCCTGATTTGCTGTCGTGGGCCTAGTTAAATTTTCTTTATGCGTAAGAGGATGTGTGATCAGTCATGCGGTAAAGTCATAATTTGCTAAAGACTGACTTTTAAGTACTCAGACATGCTGGACTAATTTATAAGTTGCAGTGGGACTTTTGGAGTTACAGAAAAAACTTCCTTTATTGTTTTAAGATGGTGAGTTTTAAACAGAACTTTTTTTTTTTTCATTTTTACTGGGGCTGAGGTATTTGTTAGCTTTTCAAATAGCTATATAGATGACAGTCTGTGAGGTTTATTCAAGGTTACTACAAATGTGACTAGAAATGTAAGAAGTCTCCCTTTAAGACATATGATAAGAAAATCTCAATAGGTCTTGCTTATTTGAAATTCCTTTGAAATATTAAGAATTTAAGAGTGTTGTTGTTTTTAATCTTGTCATTTTAACAAGCCCAATGAGGCATCTTTCTATGATGGCACATAGAGTGTGCAATTTCCTAAAATTTCTGCTTTTAATATAACCACTTGAAGCATATTTTTCTGCTAAAATTCAGTTTGCGAACAGAGAATTCTGTTCACATCCTGATAACCTTCTGTTACACTGATCTCAGGGCTAATCCGTGTCAGGGGCTCCTTTCTGTAAACTTCCCTCCTGTTTTCAAACGTGTCCTCCTAGTGCTAAGTCTTGATGGGAGGAATATGCTTTGTAAGATATATGGCAATATTTTTAGATCCAACTTTTACTTTTATAGATGATGGCAGATCTCATGTTCAGGAAGCAGGACTATGAACAAGCAGTGTTTCATTTACAACAGCTTTTAGAACGCAAGCCAGGTAAATATTCATTGATTGTATTGGCTAATGCACTCAACTCCCTTTCTCCTCTTGGCTGTTATGCCATATCTGCCTTGGGTTCTAGACTCTATTTTATCCCTTTCTCCTTTTCTGAATGACTGTTTAAGATAGTGCACATAATATTTTCATTCTTTCTGTTTTAAGCTGTTCCCATCCTATCTAATAAAGAGGTAATTGACCATCACTCCAACACACAAGATGGCCGCCCCCATGTGGACACAAGATGGCCAGCAGGGGAGGGCAGTTGGGAGGAACCAGGCCTGCAAGGGAGGGCAGTTGGGGGGGACCCAGGCCTGCAGGGAAGGGCAGTTGGGGGCAGACCCATGCCTGCAGGGGAGGGAAGTTGGGGGGACCGAGGCCTGCAGGGGAGGGCAGTTAGGAGGGGCCGGGCCTGCAGGGGAGGGCATTTAGGGGTGACCAGGCCTGCAGGGGAGGGCAGATAGGGGCAATTGGGCAAGCAGGGGAGGGCAGTTAGGCATCGATCAGGCTGGCAGGGGAGTGGTTAGGGGGTGATCAGGCTGGCAGACAGAAGCAGTTAGGGGCATTCAGGCAGGTAGGCAGGCGAGCGGTTGGGAGCCAGCAGTCCTGGATTGTGAGAGGGATGTCCCAGATTGGAGAGGGTGCAAGCTGGGCTGAGGGACACCCCCCCACCCCTCGCACAAATTTCGTGCACCGGGCCTCTACTATTGCAATATTTCCCTTTGAGCCAATAATCCAACCTGATGTCTTTAAAAAAACAGACCTGTCCCCTTGTGTGTACATGTGTGTCTAAAAAACAGACCTCTCCCTTTGTATGTGTATGATATGTTTTTAATGATCTTAAAGAGAGAAATATCAATGTGAAAAACATTGATCAGTTGCCTTCTATACATGCTGACTGGGGATTGAACCCAAAACATTTTCAGTGTATGGGATGACGCTCCAACCAACTGATCCACCTGGCTTGGGCCCCTTGTTAATATTTTTAAGCCATTGATGACAATATTACCCTCACATGAAAGATTTGAAGAAGCACTCATCTAGAAGATGAATTTTGTCTCACCCAGCATCTCTCCAAAATAGCAATAACATAATTAGCTTAGTAGACTGGCTACTTTGGACTGTTCATAAGCACATATAAAATGAATTATTTATAAATTCAGTATAATAACCTTGTACTGCAAAAGTACCAAGTGACACAAAACCACACCTCCAAGCCTATACATGGTTTTTTCCTTTTGCCCATAATGAATTTTTTTAAAATATATTTAATTGATTTTTTACAGAGAGGAAGGGAGAGGGATAGAGAATTAGAAACATTGATGAGAGAGAAACATCAACCAGCTGCCTCCTGCACATCCCCTACTGTGGATGTGCCCGCAACCAAGGTACATACCCTTGACCGGAATCAAACCTGGGACCTTTCAGTCCGCAGGCTGATGCTCTATCCACTGAGCCAAACCAGTTAGGGCCCATAATGAATTTTTCCATCCTCATTCTTCCGCTATGTCTTTCCCTACACATAATCCAAAATATACACCTTTCACCAAATAAAAATCCCAACCTACTGCCACCACCAACATAAAATATCTCATGTGATGCTGAGTAGGGTGACCACCTACCTTGATTTGCCTAAGACTGAAGGGTCTCCGGGAAGACAGGGCTTTCAATGCTAAAACTAAAAAAGTCTCAGAAAATCAGGATAAGTTGGTCACACTAATAATGAATCACTTCACTCATGCCTCTTTATCACATAATTCTATTATTTTTCTGAAAGTATTTGTGCATATATTTGTCATCTCCATTAAACTGCAAACTCCAAGTTTGCAGGGATCATCTCACATCCATCTGATATCCCCACCATCAAACACGTTGTGGTGTAAAGCACACAGATGGTACAAAGTAAACGTTTATTGGTTGAATGGATTGGTGAATGGCTGTGCAATACTAAGTCATTTAAAAATGCAAAATAAGTAAGTTTTTACTGCCTATGTCAGCGGTTCTCAACCTGTGGGTCGCGACCCCTTTGGCGGTCGAACGACCCTTTCACAGGGGTCGCCTAAGACCATCCTGCATATCAGATATTTACATTACGATTCATAACAGTAGCAACATTACAGTTATGAAGTAGCAACGAAAATAATTTTATGGTTGGGTCACAACATGAGGAACTGTATTTAAAGGGCCAGAAGGTTGAGAACCACTGGCCTATGTGATATTTTATGTTTTGAATCTTGTGTTCTATTTGATTTCTAATAGGACTTTACAAACTCATCCACTGATCTGCTTTGTCAGAATTAATTCTAAAACCTATGATCTACTTACTTTATGTGTGCATTATTCCTCACCCTCAGTAGCACATTGAATACTTTAAAGTAAGGCTGTGTTTTAGCTTACTTGAGAAATGTACTGTCCAATTTGACTTAACCTTGCTGGTTAAAAATTCTCCTTATAGATCTAATTACTGCTCTCTTGAAAGATTACACTTTTTCACTCACAAAATCTCCAAATCCTCCCGAGTTCTCCTCTGCCCTCACAGCAATTGATTAACAAGTCCCATCAGTCCTGTCTGTTTAATAGCTAAGTGTCACATCCAGTCTCTCTTCTCCTAGCCCACGGCTCTAATTAAGGCCTGTGTCACTTCTCACCCAGATTAGTGCAATTTCCCTACTGATCTTCCAGCCTCTAGGTTCTTGCAGCTCTGTCTCATGATAGGACTGCTATATGAATTCTAAAAACCAACAACCACCCCAAACATGTCATTAGGATGTACTGTTCTTACCCCCTTGCGTGCTGCAGTAAACGGAAAAGGTTGTCTCACAGCCAGACTTGCCCTGCACAATCACATCAGCCCTCCTAAATTTTACAGTTGGAGTTTAGGTTATCTATACAGAGACTGTTTCTAGAATATGTTGGTCCTAGGAATGATTGAAAAGTAAGTTACAGCAAATGTGCATTTTTGTCTATTTGCCTACAGACCCTGTCTCACTATGATCTGACCAACCCACCCTTTATCGTTTGATTGATCATCCGGTTGTCCACACAGTCTCTTTAGGGATTATAACCCCAGAGGCGTTCCTTTGTTTACATTGTATTTCATTTAAAGTAAACTATACTTTTTAAAGTAGGATTATAACCATTAAAACAAAAGATATAAAATGTGTCTATATCTGAAATATTCTTTGTTTGTAGATAATTATATGACATTATCTCGCTTAATTGATTTCCTAAGAAGATGTGGAAAACTTGAGGATGTTCCAAGATTTTTCTTAATGGCTGAGAAACGTAACTCCAGAGCAAAATTGGAGCCAGGATATCAGTACTGTAAAGGACTGTATCTTTGGTAAATCTATTGGCAAATAAATCCTACGTAATAATTTTTTTCCTCATTGTGAATAAAGTAGAATATGCATTTCTTTGTTTTGAAAGATATCTACATTTTAGAATATGTTTATTTATCAAACAAACTATAAATGATTTAAAGTTTATAGTCAGTGATTGAAATAAGTCATTTTTTTAACATTTAACCAGGTATACTGGAGAACCAAATGATGCCCTTCGACATTTTAATAAAGCTCGGAAAGATAGTGAATGGGGCCAAAATGCCCTTTATAATATGATAGAAATCTGTTTGAATCCAGACAATGAAACTGTCGGAGGTGAAGTGTTTGAAAATCTAGATAGAGACCTGGGGTGAGTAGTGTTTGACAAATTACTCTTTTTTAAGAAACACATTGAAGATAATAAGCAAGGACACCTTACAAAAGAGAACTAAATTCTAGGGTAGCACTAATGAAGGGTTAGATTAAAAAAAAATCATAGCTAGAATAACTGTTCTCTGTAGCAAGCATGAATTACTTTTAGTAGGTTTCCTAAATCAGAAGAAACTTATACACTCCCCTACTCTGTGAAAAACAGGTACATTATAGAATTTGATCACTTTCACAAAACTGTCCACCCAATAATAGTAACTCTTTAAGAGATGGTGGTTATATGCCATACCCTTGTTTCTGTATACTCTATATGCATTGTCTTATTTATTCCCTACAGCAGTATTGTGAAATTAGCTCAGAGTTAACTTGTCTAATGTGATAGAGTTAGTAAGTGGTGGGGGCAAGATTTGGGCTGAGTTCTACCTGACTTCAAAGCCACTGTGTACACTGCTGTTAAGTGGTTATATTTCTACGAACCTGTATTTGTTGCTTGTCCTCTCCTTAAATTGGGCAAGGTATGGTGGGGGGTGCATAAGTATGTAAATATGTAAGGTATAGGGGTAGTTTCTACCTTCAGAAACATGTAATTTACCTAGGAGACAGGACAGTATCTGAAAGCATTCAATCTCTGACGAAACAGATCTTAAGTGTTACAGGAATTCATAGAACTCATAGCAGTGCAAAGCAATCAAGGGGAGTTGTATAAGGGAACGGGAGTAAATTAGAACCAGAATGCTGAGACATTTCAATGACAGATTTGAAGGCTTGGATTCTAGAGACCATGGCAAGTTTTAGAGTAGGGACAGACATGTTTGTCTTATGTTTGTTTTGAAGAGGCTAAGGTAAACTACTGTTAGGTGTCTATAGGCTATTCTTCAGCAAGTAGTTGAAAATATAAAACTAGAACTCAGAAAGGAGGCCATAGCCGGAGATACAGATTTGGAGGACATGTGCACAGAGTGGATGGTTGGAACCCCATGAATGGCCTCTCTGCAAGTAGAATGTAGTAAGAGAAATCTGAGAACTAAATTTTGGGCATGCTAACATTTAAGGGGACTGGAGGAGGAAGGGAAGTCAGAAAAGGCCAATCAGTGTGGTGGAAAGAGAACCAAAAAATGTGTAATGTTACAGAGTGAAGGGAGGGGAACTTTGAAGAAGGTAGTCAGCAGTGTGAAATGTTTTAGAGGAGATAAAACATAAGCCCTGAGAAAATGACCAATGTCTTTATTGAATGGGCTTTGAGAATTTAATTTTCTTTTATTAATTTATATATATATTAATATATATATACATATATATGTGTGTATGTATATATATGTATATGTA